GCTTGTTGTTTGTCATTTCTCCGATCACAAATGCAGACATGGTTTTATGGTTACGTGGCGTGATGCAACGCAACACGTAAAAAGACAGTATAAGTCATTATAATCCTTAATTATGTCCCCACTGGATGCAACAAATGCCTCGTTTATAATGGGATTTAATGTTTTTGTCTCATTGCTCGGTCCAGGACAGGGCATCACAGTATGGTAGGGGCGTAACATTTCCGTACACGCTTGAGGTATTTGGCCAATCACAACGCACTGGATAGCTGGCCAATCAGAGCACACCTCACTTTTCAGACCGATGAGCTTTGTAAAAATCGATGCGTTTCAGAAAGGCAGGGCATAGAGAAGAAACAATAATGTACAGTATGTGGAAAATAATGTGTTTTTTGAACCTTAAACCGCATAAACCCATTTCATTACACCAAATAATGTTCTTTTTAACAACATCATGACCCCTTTAATTAAAGTTTTTGTTCAGCAAAGATGCATTAAATGCATAAGCAAGAGTAAGGTCTATTACATTGTGAAGTACTGTTAGAAAAAATAGTCTACTTAAAATAAATGTTGTTCTTTTGAATATTCTATTGATCGAGGAATCCTGAAAAAATGTATCAGTTTCCATAGAAATATCATCAGCACAATGTTTTTTATTTATAATATTAAGAAATGTGTCTTGAGCACCAAATCAGCCTTTTAGAATGATTTCTGAAGTATCGTGTGACACTCAAGGCTGATCCAAAAAAAATGCAGCCTTGGTGAGCTTAAGAGAGCATAAGAAACATCTTACTGACCCCAATTATTTTTATAGTAGTGTATATATATAAGTTCACAAAAAAATATTTCTATATTTTGGTTGGATCATACATTATCTAGCTGATATATTTATTTTCACTTTGTTTTTATATTTGCTTTCATATAACTTCACTGTCAGGTCTGTCTTACCTATGGCAGCAGAAACAGTGCTTATCAACATCTTCAAGAGAAATCCAAGGTGCAAACTAAAGCGCAAAATTAAATTCTGGTTTCACAATGTCTCATTAACAGATTAACGCAGATGACTCAGGCGAGACTACTCTTCTAACGCCTTTAAAACTATACTGTAACCCAGATTTCTCTGGCTCACACGTGATCATACCTTGCTGTTTTGGCACTTCTTTTCTGCCAATCAGGTCCCAGTTGGTGGCTCCAAAAACGAGCAACTGACCTTTGACTTTGGGAACCTCAAGATTCTGCACAACAGAAAAAGCAAGAAATCCATCAACAATCCATTAATAGTTTTCAAACTGAGCTCCAGAGACCCCTAGGGGGTACTTGGGGGTCCATCTAAAAAATAAATTACAAAAAAAAAAAAAAAATGTCATAGCTATCAAAATCAATGTTTTAGCTTAATACATATTTTAAAAAGGTTTCTAACATCTGCGTTCATACACCAGTAATAGTGAGCAAAATAGTGTTATGTTAATGCCAAGTAAATAATCTCAAAAGACATTTTAATACATTTAAAAAAAAAACTCCTTTGTAATATGCTTACTTTTTTCAAAAAGGTTGAAAGAAGTCTCCATACATATTTAATATACAGCTGCTTTTATATTTTCATGGGGTCCCTCACTAGATATTTATGAGATTTTGGGCTCCTTGCCATCAGAAAGTTTGAGACCCCTACACTTTATCACATGCTGGTGTATAAATAATAGGTGTGTGCATGTGACTGTATACGTGTATATACCAGCGGTGGCGAACTCCGGTCCTGGAGAGCCGCAGCCCTGCAGAGTACAGCTCCAACCCTAATTAAAACTCACCTGCCTGTAGCTTTCTAGTAACCCTTCAGACCTTGATTAGCTTGTTCAGGTGTGTTTGATTAGGGTTGAAGCAAAACTCTGCAGGGCTGCGGCTCTCCAGGACCGACGTTTGCCACCCCTGCTATATACAGTATAGAGACAGAAAGAAGCAATAAGAGCCAATATATGTCCTTACAATCTTCTCCTTCACATCATCAGCCACAGTGACCGGCTGCAGACCGGCTTTAGCTGCAGGTTTCTTTGCGTTTTCCTGTTCAAAGTCATCAAACTCATCGTCACTGCTAAACTCCCTGTCCTTTTTCTTTCCACCTCCTCTTTTTCTCTTAGGTCCACCGTTCCCAGACACATCTGTCACCTTCTTGCGTGGCATAGTTAAAAATCCTACAATAAAAACAAAAAGTAATAAGCGAACAGTTTACCGTTCTGACTACAATTTGACAGAAAGAAGAATCAGACGAGTCGAAACATGGGAATGAAGACAAAGTCAATGTGATTCATATCCCTTGTTGGTTCAAATTCCCAATTATCTCACAGCAAAAGAATCCTTAAGGAAACACACACATGCTCTGCTTATTAGTAATGCAAACGTCTTATTTCTTTTCCTATACCTAAATATGAAGCGTTATGAAAGCAGAGGTCTGGTGTTATGCTAACACACTAACAGCGCTGTAACAAAAGAATCAGCAGCAACGCGTCTGTCTCACTCACTCAGTCTCCATTTGTTTCTTTGTTATGTTTTATAACGCAGCCGCCGGTTAGCCAACAAGCACCGCTCTGCTTCAACCGGACTAGTAACTAAACTACTCCCTTACCCACGTGTTATATCTACCCTGTCCCGTAAAAACGGTCCAAATCATCAACTTATGCCCCACGGAAAGTGCGTTTGAAAGACATACCGTTTACAGATGTGTATGATGCAGACGTAGCCGTGTTAGCATGCTACACTGCATTTGCATCCGAAGCCGCAATCATAAACATCGAGAATATCATAACTCACCTGAGTAAAACTTTCCCCTATCTACTTTAAATACAAATATCTAAGTTCACGGAATAAAGCCGCGTTGAGTTAAGTGGCTGTGGCTTGGTCTCTTGTGCTGGAAGACGCGATTATTATACAAGTAGATTTCCTGATTCAGATGCTCTACTTATGTCAGTCCGTCTTCCTCGTTTTTTTTTTTTTTGATTGATTCGGAACAAAAGACTCTCAGCCTCGCGATCCAACCACGTGGGTGCAGCGCACACTCAGGGCTTTATATATCGCTCACATCTGGCAGCAGTTTGTAGAATTAAATCTTGAACGAAATGCACATTTAACGTAATTTTACAGTCATTCGTGTAGAAGTACACAGAAAAGTTTCTCTTACTTTAAAAATTTAAGATTACCTGTGTTACTTGGAATGAAAGTGTTGAGCTCAAGAGGTCATTTTTCATCTATTTTTACTATGTTAATTTAGGTTCCGATGTACAATAAAAAAAAAAAAACATGTAACTTTCATGGCACTGAGCGTGTAGTCCACAAAACAAAAACACGAGGATGGGATGCAGAGCTGAGCGAACTACAAATGTTGAGTCCCGTTGACTAGACAATATAGCGCCCTCTGCTGGGGTGGAGGATGTATTATGCATTGTAAACAACTTTCTCCACCATGGAGGAATTCAGTGCCGACCAATTTGAATCGGATTGTATGGCCTGAAAATATGCATCTATCCCTACTTCCGACTACAACTTCTGTAATTCTTACATTTCTTGCATTCTTGCAAAACTGTATCCGTTCAAATGAAAGGGTAAAGGGAAATCTGTAGCATGGTAAGTGTGATTATAATATGTTCCAGATAAACAAATCCAATATGAAATAAAAAAGGTTGTGCAATTATAATAGAAAGTCATATTTAATATAAACTGTTGCATGTTAATGAAAAGAAAACCATTCTATAAGGCATTCACTGTTTCTGATTGAGATATATGTGCTCATTAAATGTGGATTAAAGGAAATTAAATTCCATTTTAGGTATGATGTCTGTATATAGCATGCGTACTTGTTTAAAAGCTAATTGTTGTTTTTTATTTTACCATGTTGAAACATGTTGCATGTTAGAAAATACAGTATGGTTTATTTGAACCTATACCAACTGGCATTTAAATTAAGGTCTTCAAGACAAAAGCAAGCTGTTTTCTTCTAATAGTAATAGTCTAATTTCTAATAGTCAGAGACAATGTTCATGTAAAAGCTAAAATAATCTATATATGAAGAGTTTATTTGCACAAACAGATAACTCATCTTTTTTCATTTTTAAAAATCATGTTTTTTATTATGTTATCATGTTTTTATTGTGTTAGTTAGCTGTAGTGTTTTGTTATTTTTTACCTAATCAAAATAACCCAAAGGTTTGATTGTGATTAATTGGAATGCACAATGAAAAAAAACATGATTTTTTGAAAATTGTTAAAAATTGAGTTACCTGGTTTTGCAAATGAACTCTTCAGATAATAAAAAACCTACATATAATAAACATACATTTTTTAAAAACCTTGAATGAGGGGAAATCTAAATAAAATATGAGATATTAAGCAATATCATGTTTTGCAAGTAACATGAATTTTATTTTGTTTATTTTATGGGTCTTTGTTCCCCATTAACATTACAAAACATTATGCCTTCTATACAGGAGAGGGGGAAATTCCTTTATATTTACATTTACATTTAGTCATATATATATATATTACATTTTGACATTTAGCAGATGCTTTTATCCAAAGCGACTTACACATGAGGACAATGGAAGCAATCAGAATCAACAAAAGAGCAATGATATATGCAAGTGCTATAACAAGTCTCAGTTAGCTTAATGCAGTACACGTTGCAAGTTTTTTAAAAACCATATAATAAATAAAAAGAAAACAGATAGAATAGAAAAAGAATAGAGCAAGTAGTGTTAGAGGCCTTTTTTGCTTTTTTTAATCAGAAGTCAGAAAGTCAGAATTATAATTGTATAATAAATAAAAATAAAACAAATAGATAGAATGCAAAAAGATTAGAGAAGCAAGTGTTATTTTTTTTAAAGAAAAACAAGCAGTTAGTAAATAAATAGAGTACAAGTCTAAAAGGGGCAAGTTTAAGTTTTTTTTAATAAAGAATAGAATTAGAATAGAGAGTGCTAGAGTTAGAGGGTCAAATAAAGATGGAAGAGATGTGTTTTTAGCCATATTTAACATAGTGTTCATATTTAATTAATTTTTATTTAATTAAATATGCTTTAATTTTGCCTGTTGACAGTAGGAAAAAAATCGTTTTTTTTACTTACGTTAATTTATTTCAATTAACTTCTTGTTCTTAACATTACTTAACAGTACTGTCTGTCTAGCATATTAATGCCTCTCTTTTTCCTTCTATCAATGCTGTGTCTCTTCATATTTAATTAATTTTTATTTAATTAAATATGCTTTAATTTTGCCTGTTGACAGTAGGAAAAAATAGTTTTTTTTACTTACGTTAATTTATTTCAATTAACTTCTTGTTCTTAACATTACTTAACAGTACTGTCTGTCTAGCATATTAATGCCTCTCTTTTTCCTTCTATCAATGCTGTGTCTCCCCGTCTATGGTCTCCCCCCAGCAGCATGGAACTAGTGAAAGAATAATTGCTGTTCTGTGATTGGTGGGATTGCAGGCCTGATGGTCTGCCATTGGCTGGTTGTTTCTTTGAGTATTTGCATACTGCAGGGAGGCTCACTCCTGATGTACAGCAGGGGGAAGGAGCGAGACTCAGTGAGTGCAAAGAAAGGAAAAAGGGAGGCGACTGAGGGAAAAGAATAGAGGGAGAAGAGTTTTCATACTCGTGGGAGAAGCCGTGTCAGTTAATGGACTGGGAGTCTCAGAACTTGTTCGTTCACTAAAAGAAACATTTGAAATCAGCTCTTCACAACTGCTGTGCTTTCTGAGGAAGATACAGTGGTGTCATCAATGGTAGATTCACAGATGGCTGCACTGCGCAAAGATGGGAGCAGACATGACAATGGATTTATTTTGATAGCTTGTGATCAATAAGGACAATATCAGAGGGGTGACATTTAAAGGACGTAAAGCCAGGCTTGTGAGTAAGTCTTTCTTTGGAAAAAGAAGCTAAAATTCTAGTGCTTATATTGTTTTACATATGAAAATCAGACAGTGCAACATAACCTCACTGGGGGGGGGGGGAGGGGGGGGGGGGGGGGTGTAAGCGCTTATATTGTTTTACATATGAAAATCAGACAGTGCAACATAACCTCACTGGGGGGGGGGGATGCGGGGGGAGTGAGTGATGAAGCCATAGATAAAAATCAAAAACCATCCACACTTTATTTCACATTATTGTACATAATCTGACCACGTTATGCCATCTGATTTATGTACTTGAGGTTATTGCTATATAGGAAAGAATGTTGAAAATTCACTTACAGGGACATTGTTTTGTTCTTTTGTGATTTAGATTCTGTGATAGTGATCTGATACTTATATGATTGATATTAATATAAATCTGGCCTCTACTTAAACAAAAATAGAACATTTTTGACATTTTGATAGATAAACAGATTGACATAATTAGATCGTATTGATCCAAGAGGGAAATGAAAGAAGCCTGGTGGACAATAACATTCAATCAAAGCTACATTTCATTTGATGGCAATAGTGGATGACTTTTACTATGGTATATGTGTGACATTTAAAAGCTAATCTGACATCTGAATGTCAATTCAGTCCTAAAGCTAATCTGAGAGCAGATTCATGGTCTGTCCTCCAGCCTTACCTCCCAGTGGTTTGATATGAGCTGACTCACGTGGGATGACCATTTTGAATCAAACCATTCCTTTTGGTCATTTTTTAACCTCAAAGGTACAGTGTTTTATCAGAAAATCTCGTCTTCCTTCACTTTATCAGATCCGCTGTCTAATGCATTGATTAAATGTAAATTCACATAGCAACTACAGGAAGTGGAGAAGGATATCATTGTAAAGAGTGTCTGCGAAAAGAGCGGCCATGGAGAGTTAATATGTGTAGAGGTCCAGATGCCTCTGTCTTTGTGCCTGTGTCCAAGGTGATGCCTGTGTTGTTTATTTGAAAGGAGTTGCTGGGCCATTCATTCGGCCTGCAGCTCTTACTATGTGCTTTACTTTCAACCATTCAACCTTGCTGTGTCTATCGAGGTGGGAAATATGCTATTTGCCTTTGTCTATTCACTGGCTTCAGCCTGCTCTTCCCCTGCCTGTTTTTTCTAGTGAATAATCCAAGCACACTGACCTCCAGCTGTTAGGTTATCTAAAAGAAATAAGATAAACTCTTTACAAGTACTTTGTGAAGTTAGGCAGTAACTTTTATCCAAAGCAAATTACAGTGCATTCAAAGTCAGTATTCATTTGCTGGGAATCAAACTCATAACCTTGGCATTATTAGTGCCACACGTTATGGGAGGGAAGACATCTGAGGCAGTTAAGAAATTGCTGACTAATTTTATTATAAATACTGGTACTGACTGATGTAACTAAACCTGTCCTTAAGTCTTTGCAGCACATTTCTCTGTATCAGCCTCCGGTCATTGCTCTTGGTTGAATTGTGTTGTTCTGACACACGCTGAGAGTCTTTCCCAGTAAATGTGGGAGGAGATATTGTGCAAGGATTCAGCTGGTAAGGCAAGCCTGGATCTGCCACGCACTGTTGAGGAATTTAACATTTTCACCCAGTCTCCTTTAGTAACCTGTAATGTCCATGAACAGCATAAGAAAAACTTTAATTTCAGCAAAAGTCATATTTCACTGATTTCCAGGGGTGTGGTGTTAGTTGCGCTACAGTTTAAAGGCATTGTGTTTCACTAGAGTCCCATCCTGTGGGTGTTTAGGGACTTTGAGTTGAACATTTTAGAATACATGTGTTGACACAAAGCATTTCTCTTTTACAGGAGTGCAGATATGACTACATATTAACTTTATGGCATCTCCACAGTCTCTTAGCCCTCCTGAAAAAGGTTAGTACATGGATCATGCTGCTCGTTGTTTTCTGGATGTATTAGATGTTTAAAATGTAATTAATATCAATTGATTAATTAAAAGAGAGAGGACCCATGCAGACCAAGTTATTTTAATAATATTTATATACTATTGTAACATTTATTAATGTTTTGAATTAGCTTTTATTTTATATTTGTAGTTTCATTTAAATTTTAGTTTGTTTTATTAATGTATCATTTTTAGTTTTAGTAATTTTATCACTTTGACTTTAGTAATTTTAGTGCTTTAATATAAATTAAGGGTTATTTTATTTTACAACTCTGCTGCAGGACCTTATTACTTTGTGTTACCATCAATGAGTCTCTTAAAATATGAGATAATTTGACCTTTTATGATAAGGTAAGGTTAGTTCAGGTTGTAAAATGTCATGTGGTGGATTTTTTTAAATGATAATAATTAACAAATTAATCATTTAGAATATTTAAAAAAAAAATTTAATTTGAAAATTTGAGATGTGTACACTTACATTTATTCAAGGTGTAAGGAAATGCACTTTATTACACTTAAATTGAAACACTTAAAACACGTAAAAAATCATTACACCACATTACATTTTTTATTAAACTTTTTAAAACTTTTCTTAAAAACGGTATACAAGTTTTTCAAACCATATGAAATCAACATGAATACATTACTGTACATTAGGAAGTTGGCACATGTGCTTTAAACTAGATTTTTAGCAGATTTTCTGTATCGTGGACACTCATACATCATTAACCCACATACTATGATTTAAATTCAAATCTTCCGAGCACAGTGGGGCTTAGTCATGATTTGCTAGTCCTGCCAAGATGCTTGAGGAGGTGCGTCATGTGACATCACACTGTTCACTGCACTCTCTGGTATAAACAAGGCCCAAACAGAGGGTAGCTGTGCATGACACATTAGGGTGCGCACTTTTCAAACAAAGAGAAACCATAATGACAGCGTAAGAACTGTTAATGACCTGTGCATGTCACCTGTTCTGGTATATTACAGAACAGTACAGTGTGTAAAACTCTGAAACAGTTACCCAGTTGAGGGAATACAGCATTACCCTCTTAATCTCCAGAGAGCTTGTGAAACTGCTTGAGGGCTCAGCAGCGCTCAAGGTAACTGACCATATGCTGCAGCAGAGCAATTCTTCCACCATATGCCACCTGCTCTTGACACACAACTATCCTGCAGCCATGGAGACTGCTTGCATGAGACAATCGCTTAAATTTCTAGTTTCACCCAAAATCCACCTGGCCGGGTCTAAGGGGTTCTCATACTTTTGTTGGAGAGAGGGGAATGAGGACCAGAGGCACGGTAAACGAATGTTTTATTGTTTTGTGACTGTTGAAGGCAATAGAGCACCTGAGCACTGCATGATTACTGACCTTTAGAGCCATTTTCAAGTCATGTGAGCTGATATTGACTTGAGTAACCGATTTGTGTTATTGTATAAGGTAAATCTGCACCATGGAAAAATTGGAGGGAACTTAAAGCAGAGAAATTTCAAACATAGAAATGTGAGCATGGGAATTTCTCCTTTGTAACTGGTTGTTACTGTCACTGTTGATTCAAGGAGCAAGTGAAACCATTTACTATTATGAAGTACTTTCAGTTGAGTATTCTCTATAGAGACCATATGGTCACATGTGTAATCCTGCTCATCACATGATCAGTTTTTCTCCGTCCAGTGCAGAAGAGTCTGTAATCTCTATTACTGTGTTTTGGCTTCTTTGCTAAACGTAACTTTCCAACAAAATGATGTCATGTTTTGTTGCTTAACTTGACTTAGTAGTTTACAGCAAAAGTTATATGCTGTCATTACTCTATTACTTCTGGATTCAGCTCACAACTCACTCATACTCATACTTTTGGTGTATGTAACAGATTGTTTTCATCTGTATTATTTTGTCCATCTGTTCGATGTTTATGGTATGTGTTATCAGAGGGAAGGAGTCTTGGCTTTTAGCTTGTGAGTTTTGGGTGTTTTTCCGAACAAATCTGATGACTCGCAAGGGTTTTGTCTCCAATGTTATGGTCAAAACATATTTTTGAGCCTTTTCTTTGACTCAGTCTGGCATCATAATGGAATACAAATGTAGCTGCTTAGATACAGAATGTGCACTGAATTGTAAAGACCTCATTTTTGTTTGTTGTGTTTATGCTTTAATGTGAAATTGCATTATGCATGCTAATTCTGAATGTTTCATTGCAATCAGTCCATTAGCAGGCAGGTCCTAGGGATTATACTGTGGCTTAGTGGTTACACTGATAAACACAATGCTCATGAAATAAAATACAGTGGATGTACAGGATTATTCTCTATTCTTAAAACCTTTTAAAAAATATTTCCAAATCCACATTTGTAGTAATGTACAACGAGGTTTAGGGGATGGCTTTTAAAAAAAAACAATCACAGCAATCAAATAGCAGTCCTTAAAAACTGCTCAGAACACACTATCACATAGCAATACTCCAACAACCACTCAGTAGAACACCATTGCAAATCTCAAATACTCAGCACACCATAGCAACACTCAAACTACTGCTCAGAACATCTTAGCAATCATATAGCAACACTCAAACAACCACTCAAAACACTGTAGACATGCTTAAGCACTGTGATGGTGTTCTGAGTGTTTGTATGAGCACTGTGATAGTGTTCTGAGTGTTTGTTTAAGTGCTGTGATGGTGTTCTAAGCATTTGTTTAAGCAATGTGATGATGGTCTGAGTGTATGAGCACTGTGATGGTGTTCTGAGTGTTTGTATGAGCACTGTGATAGTGTTCTGAGTGTTTGTTTAAGTGCTGTGATGGTGTTCTAAGCATTTGTTTAAGCAATGTGATGATGGTCTGAGTGTATGAGCACTGTGATGGTGTTCTGAGTGTTTGTATGAGCACTGTGATAGTGTTCTGAGTGTTTGTTTAAGTGCTGTGATGGTGTTCTAAGCATTTGTTTAAGCAATGTGATGATGGTCTGAGTGTATGAGCACTGTGATGGTGTTCTGAGTGTTTTTTTAAGCACTGACGTGTTCTGAGTGTTTGTTTAAGTGCTGTGATGGTGTTCTAAGCATTTGTTTAAGCAATGTGATGATGGTCTGAGTGTATGAGCACTGTACTGGTGTTCTGAGTGTTTTCTTAAGCACTGACGTGTTCTGAGTGTTTGTTTAAGTGCTGTGATGGTGTTCTAAGCATTTGTTTAAGCAATGTGATGATGGTCTGAGTGTATGAGCACTGTACTGGTGTTCTGAGTGTTTTCTTAAGCACTGACGTGTTCTGAGTGTTTGTTTAAGTGCTGTGATGGTGTTCTAAGCATTTGTTTAAGCAATGTGATGATGGTCTGAGTGTATGAGCACTGTGATGGTGTTCTGAGTGTTTGTTTAAGCATTGTGATAGTGTTCTGAGTGTCTGTATGAGCACTGTGATGGTGTTCTGAGTGTTTGTTTAAGCATTGTGATAGTGTTCTGAGTGTCTGTATGAGCACTGTGATGGTGTTCTGAGTGTTTGTTTAAGCATTGTGATAGTGTTCTGAGTGTCTGTATGAGCACTGTGATGGTGTTCTGAGTGGTTGTTTTTGTTTTTGCTATGTGATTGATAGCATGTTCTGAGTGGTTGTATGAGTGTTGCTAAGGTGTTCTGAGTGGATGTTTGAGCGTTGCTCATACAACCACTCAGAACACGCTATCAATCACATAGCAAAAACAAAAACAACCACTTAAACCACCATCACAACACTCAAACAACAATTTAAAACACGCTATCAGTCACGTAAAAACAAACAACCACTCAGAACACTTTAGCAACACTGAAACAACCACTCAGAACACGCTGTCCGTCACATAGCAAAAACAACCACCTGAAACACCATCACAGTGTTTAAACATTCTTTGCAATCCTAACACTTAAACAACCACATAGCAGTGTCAGAACACCATTGCACTGGAAACACTTAAACAACCACCCATAACATGCTATCAACCACATAGCAGTGCTCAAACAACCACTCAGAACACCACAGCAACCCTCAAACACTCAGAACATCATAGCAATTCCATTGCAATGCTTAAACAACACTCAGAACATGCTAGCAACTGCATAATAATGCTCAAACAATCACTCAGCAATGCTCAAAGTAACAGCTAGCAACTACTTAGCAAATACTCAACCAATCAGAATACCCTAGCAACACTAAAAAAAACACTCAGAACACCTTTTCAATCACCTAGCTACATAGTAACACTTAAGACAAAACCCAACTACCACCTACCTAGCAACATTCAAACAACCACCCAGAACACAGTAGCAACATAGATGTATACACATAGATGCTTCATTAGCGCCTATTTCTGGAGATGGTCATCATTGCAGAACTCAAGATCCAGGGGGCGTGGTTGGATCCAGATCCAACTCCTCCCACCTTACATATACCTAAACCTACCCATCTCCACCCCCTAGATGGGGATCCAACCACACCCCTGGATCTTGTGTTCTGCAGTGAGGGGCTACTGTATTTCTGTGGGCCTCTATACATATAGATATAAGCCATCGGCCATATTGGATCGGTCAAGGTCAGTCTGAACATTTCCATTGGACTGTGTGTCTGCAATCGTAGCTATACACATATATGAATACCTATCACATTTATTTGGGTATTTAAATCTCAGCAGTTTTTTAAATGTAAAAATGTGGTTCTTATCCTATTTTCATCAGTTAAAATAATTTTTTTTGTGTTATTTCAGAGTCCATGGTCACTTCTGTGACTCAGAAGGCCCAGGAGGAGGAAGAAGAAGATGATGAAGATGAGGAAACCGGCGAGAAGTTTGAGTTTGATGACAGCGAAGATGAGCAGAATACAGTGGAGAACTCTGTTGAGGATAAAGAGTCAGGAACTCCTCAAGTGGAAGCTGAGCATTCAGAAAATACTAATGGTAGCACTGCCACAAATGCAATTTATTGTCAAGTTATGAAGCGTAATCAGCAGGTGGTAAACGGAGGGACCCCTGCTGGTCTGGAGGACCAAAATATCTCCACACATCCTCGCACAACAAACTCAGGTTAGTCTCCAGTATGCGTTAGTCACAAAATATAACTGTTTTTATGTATGTTGTATATTACCTCACTGATTCTTGAAACATGGGATAAAACTCGTTTTGTAAATTATTTTGTCCCTGCACCCAAGAATTAGTGATCTGTTTGTTGGAAAATTATGAAACATACTTTCTGTTCGTCCTACAGAGATGGTGGCCAGACAATCTGCTGACGGGTAAGAATGTCTGTATGCCTTATGTGTTATGCCTCGAACATTTTCCACTTGAACATCTTGAACATCTTGAACCTTATTTTTCCTACAGGATGTCATTATAGACACGAAGTCTTTATAGGCTTACTGTTTGAGGTGTTTGTCCCCCAAAGGACTTTACTCTATGTCTTAGCAGTATAGTTCTATGGCTGAATATTTACCTTTTATGTTAACCTGTTATGTTATGTTGCCTACTGTATTAGTTATTAAACAACTTGCTCTGGCTCTAGTGACATCTAGTGGCAATGTGATGTGACCATTAGCGCACAGTGACTGATAAGAATAAACATGGAGGGGCAGTATTTCAATACTTCTGCATTTCTGTTTTGTTTTAGGAGTTCTGTCTCGGCCGAGCCTCGAGTAGCTGATGAACAAGCAAGCTTTTGGAAAAGAAATAACATTTATGAAGGTATTATACTTGGAGAATATCTCTAGTGTTTGTGGTTATAAATCTTGCGAGATGAATCTATTTAAAGCAGTCTACTTGGACTAGCTGGACGTACCAAAATGTGTCACTCCAAGAGTTCAAATAACCAGCCGTCTAGAGACTGACTGTCAACATTGAAACGTGGTTGAACTTGAAATAATGCAAGTTCTGGTTTCAATATTGAAAATGTAGAAAAAAATGCTGACACAAAATTGTTGAAAATATTAAAAGAAGATTGAAACAACTTAAAAAAACAACAACTTATAAATCAATGATGAAATTTTAACATTATAAATGTAAGAAGTTGATATAGTGTTGCAATATCAGTCCAAACACCCAGCCGGCTAGTGACTGACCTTTAACTTTGAAATGTGGTTAAAATAATTTTTAAACTTTTTTCAAAATTGAAATAATGTTTAATGTTAGATATTGTAAAAAAAAAAAAAAAAAACAGTTAAGTCAATTTGAAATTTCAAAAGGACATTGTAAACGTACTACAATATCAACATTGATTCGATTCACAAAACGGAAACAAAGCTCAGCAGTGTTTCAGCCTTTTCCATGGCGTTTGGGATTAAATGTGGCTGGGAAGGCATTTCAGTACTTAAATCTGACAAATCTGTTTGAAAATGTATCTCCAGGTTCACATTTTGGGCCAGAGTGCCTCTATACAGCTATCCAGAAGTCTCCCCACAAACATGCTCAGACAGGTTGGTGGCTCTGTAAAGGTGCTGTGCCATGCCTTCCTGTAAATCCACACTAATGCACAAATCAGCATGTAAATCAGAGATCTGAAAAATAGCAATGAATTATCCAATCCAGACCCACAGGAATCTCACGGGAAAGAAAACAACACACCCATGCCAAATGTCCACACTTGGTTCAGCCTAATAAATCAGATTCTTTGGAGATTAATTTTTTTAAATTCTGTTGCAATCCAATCAAATAACACAACAAACAAGTGATTGAGCAAACAAAATCATACAGTGAATATAAAATCCCTTGTCAATATAATTCATTATATTCCTAAATTGTTAAATCTGCATTGGAAACAACTGTATGCATGTTCCAAATACTTCATGTAAACTAACAAACTACTTGGCATGATTTTGAGAAGTCCTGGTAGCGTCAACAATTCAACGGCCATAGTAGAAGTGACTTCAAAGCCTTGTCCATTGGCTGTTAAACAGTCTCTGCTATGTGTGTGCAGCCCCAGTCCACTCTCAGGAATGGTTCAGTGTGGTTTCAGAGCTCACTCTGCGACTGCATAAAGGTACAATCCCCACTCCCCAGGACAGTTGGAATAGCTGTGCCGTTTTTGTATTTGACTGTAGATCTCCTTTGTCTATTACACGGCTCTCTGGAATACTTGATTCTGATTGGTCAGTCCCCACCTTCAGCCGTCTGATATTTTCTAATATTCTGTGTCGCCCATGGCAGTACTGTATAATCCATCTGCTCATATTGGTAAATTAAACTGGAGCTACGTTCTTGTCTCTCGTGTCATGGCAGACTTGCTCTCTCTTGCAAGATGCAACTGGCAGCTTCTTTTTTCTCAGTTATTAATTGTATTGATAATTACCTCAGAGGATTTACATCTTCATATTACTGCAATAGTTGCAGTGTTTGTCTTACTGCTAAGCTGATTGTTTTGTATGTTATAGTTGACCATTTTTAATAGCAGAAACTTGTAATATTATTACAATTTATAATAACTCCGGTTTCTATTTTAGTATATTGTACAATTGTATTTATTCCTGTGATGGCAAAGCTGAATTTTCACCAGCCATTACTCCAGTTTTCAGTGTCACATGATTCTTCAGAAATCCGAATATGCTGATTTATTACTTTCAATATTGAAAACAATCAAAACAAAATGACTGCTTAATACTTTTGTGGAAACCGTGATACTTTTTTCAGGATTCATTGATGAATAGAAAGTTCAAATGACCAGCATTTATTTGAAATATAAATATTGGTAACTTTCAATCAATTTAAGGCAACCTTGCCAAATAAAAGTATTAATTTCTTTAAAAATAAAATCCTACCGACCTCAGACTTTTGAATGGTAGTGTATTTATTTGTTTGATCAGTAGCCGTGTAATAATAAACAGTCTATTTTGCAATAATAACCAGCTGGCTTTACATTGTCCTTTACATAGATCATAGTTAGATGTCTTGATCCCTTTGAACCTTTTGTTTAACAACATTCAGGAATAATTAGCAACCCAGTCAAGTCTTTTTTGTTGGAGTATTACTGTTGGAGTATTTTGGCATCATAGTACTGACGTTTTAGGCTGTAGATAGACTTATTGCAACTGTAAATACAGGCTGTTGCTGTGTCATGACTAATAACGAGAATTGGCTTCTATATCCACTCCCTGCTGCTGTCATTTCTACACCCTTTTAGATCTTTGTGTCTTTTCCTCAGTGTATAAACATTTACTTATGTGCAACATCACACTGACGATCATTGTTGTCTACAAAGCCACATAAAAATACAAGTAAAGCTATATCAACAACATCTGTGACAAGATGTTGATTATTGCAGAAAATTATTTTGAGCCTCACATGTTGAGAGAAATGCACTTATGCAAGTGTGATGACAGAAATGCAACTGTTTCCCCATAGATTGTCATAATGTTTCGCACATTTTTACAAACTGCAAGATAAGAAATGATTTTCTGTGGTAAACAGCATGCCACGGATGCTTAACTTGGGTTTAACCTGGAATATTCCCAAGAAAGATATTTATATTGGACTCCTACTCCTAATTAACGTGTTCTCAGAATTTTAAATGATCTCCCTCTGACACCCTAGACAGTAGTCTCGATATATCCTTCAGATATTCAGAGGCCTAAACAGTTTAAAGAACCTTTCACTTTGAGATATTTCAAGTTCCCGTGGGGGAGACTCAGCAGGCGACTTCATTAGGTAAAAAGAGGTTGTCAACAAATCTTGTACACACTGTCACAGTACAGACAAGTATTGTCAATCTGCCATTCGTGTAGGAGTATGTTTGTTATTTTGTAGTACTGTTGTCAGAATGCAAACTCAAATCTATGTCAAAAGGATTGTTAATGTGCTTTTCTGTGCTAATCATGGCTTAATTTCATTTGCACTCAGTTTCTCAACCAGCACTTAGCTTAAAGTGATAGTTCACCCAAAAATGAAAATTTACTCACCCTCATGCCAGTTTCTTTCTTATTTTGAACATAAAAGAAAATATTTTGAAGAGTGCTGGTAATCAAACAGTTGATGGTCCCCATTGACTTCCATAGTATTTCTTTCCCTACTATGCAAATCAATGGTCCCACTCCCACAGCCCAAAGACATGCAGGTTAGGTGAATTGAAGATTCTAAATTGTCCCCACTGACTTGTGTGTGTATAACAGGCTTGTGCATGGACCGACTTGTGTATAGATCAACTGGTTCTTGCCATGAATATAGCCATAGATGCTGGAATGGCATTAAGAAGAAAATAAACCAACAAACATGAAAATCAATGGGGACCAACAACTGTTTGCTTCTTCAAAATATCTTATCTTGTGTTCAACATAAAAAAAAAGAAACTTGTTTGGAATGACATGAGAGTGAGTAAAAGATGACAAAATTGTCATTTTTGGTTGAACTATTCTTTTAATACATCGCTGAGGTTCTGATGAATGATTATCAAATGATGTTTGCTGTTATTGTGCTTCAAATTAGATCCTAAACCCAATGTCCCTCCCACTTAAAGTAATATCCTATCCTTTTTTTGTTATTCGTGCTTAGAATATGCTCAAGTATCCATCAAACAGTTCTATTAGGAGTCTATTATCCTTTATGTAATAGAGTTTATTAGATGTATTTAGAAGTTTTTGTTGACACTCTAGGTCTCGCTCCTCAAGGGAAAGCCGTTCCTAAATCAGATGAAAATTCACCCTCTGAACAACTGAAGCAGATCTCGGCTCCTCCTGCTCGCTCAGAGGTCATCTACGATGATGTGGCTTGTGAGAACATCACACCACCAGATGCAGGTCAGTGTCTGACTGTGGGCATCATCTGTCCAGATCAGTAATGTCATCACCCATAGGAAAATTCTCACTTGAGAGCTATTGAATATCTCAAATAATTCTTCAAGATAGCAGTGAGGTGAAATGGAGAGCATTTATTTATTTATTTATTCTCATATGTTTCTACTCTGTACTCTACCACTGTACTGTGGTAAAATTAAGGAATTTTCTGCATTGATTTTTCAGTTGTTTTATGCGTATTTTAAATTATGAATTGGATTTTTGAATTGAAATTGAAATTTGAATTGAATACAGTGATGCTTGAAAGTTTGTGGACCCTTTAGAATTTTCTATATTTCTGCATAAATATGACCCAAAGCATCATCAGATTTTCACACAGGTCCTAGAAGTAGACAAAGTGAACTCAGATCAAATAAATGAGACACAAATATTTTCTTTGTCAATTATTTATTGAGAAAAAAATCCAGTGTTCTTCTGTGCATTGCAAAAGTATGTGAATCTTTAATTGGATGTTGGTGGGTTTCCTCCTATGAACTGCTTGCTTCAGCTCCTTCCACAACATTTCAATTGGATTAAAGAGATAGTTCACCCAAAAATGAAAATTACCCCATTATTTACTCCCCCTCAAGGCATCCTATGTGTATATGATTTTCTTCTTTCAGACGAATCCAATTGGTGTTATATTGAACAAAATGTCCTGGCTCTTCCAGGCTTTATAATGGCAGTGAATGGGTGTTATTTTTCAGTAGTCCAAAAGAAGTCAAATATAGCGCATCCATCCATCTTAAAAAGTGTCCCTCAAGGCTCCAAGGGGTGAAGGGTGAAAGGCCTCCTAAAGCTAATAGATGTGTTTTTGTAGGAATAACATTGATATTTAATACTTTATAAACTGCAATATCTAGCTTCCGCAAACTGTCGTATGCGCATTCACAATAGAACACCGTTCCGGCGGATGACGTAAGAGTAGCGTAGTTTACAGGAGCAAAATAAGCTAAATTTCCTTTGTTTAGCAAAGGAAAACTAGTCTCCTCTTGGCTTATATTGACATCCTCTGACATTTTTCTTTACAAATCCTCATTTTGTACTTCTAATTCTTGACTAGTGCTTTGTTTTGCTCTCTCCTCTGCGATTCAACGTTTGTCTCTTCCCTACGTCCTGCGTCATCCGCCGGAATGGTGTTGTATTGTGAACGCACGCACAACAGTTAGAGCTAGAGATTGCTTTTTTAAAAAGTTTTAAATATGAATATTTTTCTTATTTCTTGCATCGATTCACTTCAGGAGGCCTTTATTCACCCCCCGGAGTCGTATGTATGTATTTGTCCACAGTCTGTCTGACTGTGGATTTGTGAGTCCAAACTCTTTAGAGTTGGCTTTGTAATCTTTTCTGAGGTCCTCGGAGATCTCCTTTGTTCGTGGCATGATACACTTCTACAAACATGATCAGACTTTGATTGATCCCTGTTCTTTAAATAAAACAGGGCACGCAGTGACACCTGATATTTATTGCATTGATTGAAAACGCCTCTGAATATAGTGTCTGAATATACAGAATATAACACCTCTGACTCTAATTTCACCTTCAAAATAACTGCTAATCCTTAGATTCACATACTTTTGCAATGCACAGATATGTAACAATTGATAATTTTTCATAATAATTTTTTTTTTCTGATTTGTTTGATTGGGTTCTCTGTCTGCTTCAGGACTTGGATGAAAATCTTATGACGTTTAGGGTTATATTTATGCAGAAATATAGAAAATTCTAAAGGGTTCACAAACTTTCAAGCAGCACTGCATATTACACTGTGTTGTGATCTATGGGTTGAAGGAAATATCCGCAAACTTAACACAGAAATGTACTGGTAATTTTCTGCCAGAGCATTATCTGTTTTATTCCGATTATACAAAAAAATGTTACAAACCGTGCACAGATTTGCAATGTTTACAACCAAGAATCAGATTTCAGACATTTCCTTCTAGTCAAGTCAAACTACCTGGCCTGTTATATCTGCATGAAGGACTCTTTGAAGAAACATCTGACACAAACAAATATACATAAATTCTCTAAGGAAGGTGACAGATCTTCCAGCCTTGGCCAGTGAACGAGGTACTTGAACTCACTAGGGGCATTCATGAGTTTAAGGAGGCCATGCGACCCAGAACCAAAAAAGTGCAGATGCTAATAAAGTGCAAACTCAGAGCAATAATTCTACAGTCAGTGCATTCATATAGCACAGTTTATTTTCACCCTGTAGTAATTTGCCTATACCAACCAACCCATGTACAGTATGTTTCCGGTTTAGATGTATCTTGACTCAGGACATCTTACTTTCTCCTTCCTCATATTTTTTCGTGATTATTTTTTAGGGGATGATGTGATCTACGAGGAGGTGCAGAGGTCTGGTGAGTCCGGACTGATAGACAACGGCTGGGGCTCCAGTGAGTTTGAGAGTTACGACGAGCAGTCAGACAGCGAGACCAAGCAGCCCACCCGCAATAAGGTACAAATACACTGCCCATTATCCAATCTCTCTAAATAAGTAATAAAATGAATAAATGACATATTCTGCATTGTTAGTCAAAAGCAATATCAAAACAGTGCTCTATTCATGCTGCCCTATTGATCTGTGTGACCAGTGGCTGATAGGAGCGTGATTGAAACCTGTTTGAAACAATCACTATTTATGCTAATTCTGTTCAGTGATACTAGTAAAGCAGAAATTACACACTTCAACTTTAAAAAAGGAAAGGATTTTTTTGGCACTCGGTTTCTTTCAGTTCTCCTTTCTTGCTGGGTTTACCTTGTTCCTGTTCTTAGTTAATGTCTGTTGATGCTTGCTGAGAGGATCAGGTCTTAATCCACAGATGTTGCACATCATGCATGAAAACAGGTACAGAAAGCCTTAACTAAACTAACCAGACTGCAGTCTGAACTTGGGTACTTCTTTTTAAGGAATAATTTGTGAGTAGTAGAGCTGTTTGATGTGTGAAGTTTTAGTACCGTGAACCGAGACAGACACTCTCTGAGGCTAAATCTCTGGTCTTCTTCACGCTGTTATGTCTGTCTTCAGTTCCCTCTGTTGTTGGCCTTGATGTTATCACTGTCTGCCTGTGTTTGTCACTCCCTCAATCTCATTGTTTTCCTCCTTCTCCCCTCTTTTTTTGCCATCCTTCTTTATGCACTGATATATTTCAACCCCCACAACCTGTTTGAAAACAATCATTATTTATGCTTATTCTGTTCAGTGATGCTAGTAGAGCAGAAATTACACACTTCAACTTTAAAAAAGGAAAGGATTTTTTTGGCACTCGGTTTCTTTCAGTTCTCCTTTCTTGCTGGGTTTACCTTGTTCCTGTTCTTAGTTAATGTCTGTTGATGCTTGCTGAGAGGATCAGGTCTTAATCCACAGATGTTGCACATCATGCATGAAAACAGGTACAGAAAGCCTTAACTAAACTAACCAGACTGCAGTCTGAACTTGGGTACTTCTTTTTAAGGAATAATTTGTGAGTAGTAGAGCTGTTTGATGTGTGAAGTTTTAGTACCGTGAACCGAGACAGACACTCTCTGAGGCTAAATCTCTGGTCTTCTTCACGCTGTTATCTCTGTCTTCAGTTCCCTCTGTTGTTGGCCTTGATGTTATCACTGTCTGCCTGTGTTTGTCACTCCCTCAATCTCATTGTTTTCCTCCTTCTCCCCTCTTTTTTTGCCGTCCTTCTTTATGCACTGATATATTTCAACCCCCACCCCCCCCGAACCGCCTGTGGACATGGCTTTGCGGTAATGGATATAGATTTCCCCAGATGTACGACGTCTGAAGCAACGCTGCGTGCAGACCAGGCGTGAGCTAGCCATGCGGTTAGGGGCTCGAGATGTCGGCCAACTCAAACAAAACTATGACATTAAGGTACAATTATAGAGTGGTGGGTGTGTGGTTATCACTGATACTTGAGACATGTGACAAAACTTATGAATGACTGTGCATATATTTTCTGTCATAACTGTGATTTGTCAGCTCCATAAAGGAATTGGTTTGGATTTTAGATTTTTTTTTTAAAGAATTTTAGTTCAGTTAATAATTAGTAACATCAGACAAACAAAATGGCTCTTGCATGTAATACTTATGTGATATTTAAAATATATTTTAAGTAATATTTCTAAATATATTGTATTTTTAAAAAATGCTTTTATTTAGCAGGGATGCAATAAACTGATCAATTGTGACAGAAATCTTTTGTAACAATATAAATGTCTTTACTTTTTATGAATAAATGTACTTTCTACCAAAGAATCCTGAAAAAATGCATTATGGTTTCCACAAAAATATTAAGCTGCAAAGCTGTTTTCAGCATTGATAATAAAAAATAAATGTTTCCTGAGCACCGAATCAGTATATTAGAATGATTTCTGAAGTATCATGTGACACTGAAGACTGGAGGAATAATGCTGAAAATTCAGCTTTGCCATCACAGGAATAAATTACTTTTTAGAATATATTAAAATAAAAAAAGTCATTTTAACTTGTAAAAATAGTTCTGAATATTACTGTTTAAATGTGTTATTAATTTTGAGAATGGATGAAAATAGGAAACTTCTTTCAAAGACATGACAAGGAAAATGCACATGGAAGAAGCAGTAAGCTCTGTAGCATGTTTTGTCTCAGTTTTAAGGATCAGTGTTATATTACACATTAGACTAAATCTAGATTATGTAGATTTAGTTGCAATTTCAACTGTTCACCAAAATTCATATATAGCTAGTAGTTATAGCATTCCATCATGCTAATCATTGTACAGTGGAGACTCTGAGTCATTTTTGTATGATGAAAATGAAACTGTATGACATTCAACTGAGTGCTGCAACTGAGCAGAGAGGGACCTTGAGGGTTTGTCCTGGTGCTGCTGAACACACTGATCCACAAACAGGAAAATATCTCTTCTCTTCTCTTTTAGTTTTGCTGAATCATTTTGTTCCTTGCTGTCATCTTATGCACTCAACTGATCTCTCTTTCCTCCCATAGGTTCAACAGCTCATGAAAGCAGCTAGGAATGGCACGAAAGATGGACTGGAAAAGACCAAAATAGCCATGATGCGAAAAGTGTCCTTCCTGAGTAAAAAAGACTGCACAGGTTTGACTTTTTGACTCTCATTTCCTCTTGTTAGTTTCTGGTGTTTTTTTCTGACACCTGGTAGGTTACAGTATAGAAACAATGCTAGAGACTAGATGCCCCTTTGAATGTTTGAGTTATTCTGAGATAGCAAGTGGCATGTTATTACAGAGCTACAGAATAGTGTTTACCTAGAGGGAGAAGTGAGCCGAGATGGAAGGTATTGGAAAAGTAGATGCCAGTGGGAATGAGGAGTTTAACTGTGCTTTTGACTCTCAATGTGCAGATGACACAGAGGAAGATTCTGGATATCTGGATGTGACTGTATCTGAACTCAAACATCCACCACCTCAACTTTCTCCAATGCCAGAAGGGCTCAGTAGCCAACAGGTGCGTGTTTGTATGTACTTAAGCGTGAATCGGCCTACATTACTGTCAGTATCATACGTGTCCTGCTCATTTATGACATATTTACATACTCTACCTTAAAAATACTTTTGGTCAGTAAGATTAGTTTATTTTTAAAAGATAGTAATACCTTTATTATGCAAGGATTCATGAAATTGATTGAAAGTGACAAAGACAATGTTACAAAAAACGATTTCAAATAAATGCTGTTCTTAATTTTTTTAAACTTTCTGTTCATCAAAGAATCCTGAAAAAATATATATTTTGGGGTTTTTCGCAAAAATATTCAACAGCACAGCTGTTTTCAACACTGATCATAATAAGAAATGTTTCTTGAGCACCAAATCAGTGTGTTAGAATGATTTCTGAAGGATCATGTGACACTGAAGACTGAAGTAATGGCTTTGGCATCACAGGAATAAATGGCTTTTAAAAATATATTAAAAACGTGTATTGTACTGTATTTTACTGCTGCCTTGGTAAGCATAGGAGCATATTAAGCCACTGATTTGCTGTCAGTTAACCTAATTGAATTCAAATTCCTATTTTGTATGTCACAGGTTGTCAGGCGTCATATTCTTGGCTCTATCATCCAGAGTGAAAGAAGCTACTTAGACTCACTCAAGAGGATCCTGCTGGTCAGTGACACAATTATGACATTACATATGACTGTAATACTATATCAGGATTCTGAATGATCACTTTTCTAATAATGCAAGAAACAGAAATATTCCTCAAATTTCTTAATGAAGTGTAAAGGAGGGAAAAATTAGGAATATAACACAAGAGGGAAAATATACCCTGTTAAAAAAAATTGCTTAAGGTATTTTGCTGGTCTTAATCTGGTTAGCCAGCTGGTCCCTCAGTCTAAAGATGTAAAACTGACCATCCTAACCTTCTTGGGCAGGGGTGGTTTGCACTTTTTTTCTGCAGGGTAAAGACAAAAACAAAATTTATGAATACACCCTTATCTTATTGTGCTATTAAAGCTGGGAGATTCATTAATTCTATTGTATTATATTAAACTGACAAAAACAGATGTGATTTTTGTTTTTTAAATTTAATCAACAGAAAGATAAAAACCTAAACTGAACATCCTGACCAGACTCACTCATACCTACCACCTGAATTTATATTTTAGGAATATAAGAAGCCTTTGATGGAGGCGGAGCCCCGGATCCTGAGCTTGAAGAAGATCCAGCCTATTTTTTATAGACTGAAGGAGATCCTGCAGTGTCACTCCATGTTTCAGATTGCTCTGGCCTCCCGTGTAGCAGAATGGGATAATACTGAGAAAATCGGAGACCTTTTTGTTGCTTCAGTACGTCTCCTGTTGTTCTACTAAAACGTTCAATCTGTGGTGTGTTTTACAGCTTCTGTTTTTTTTGTTCATTGAGCTTTCTTTTTTTGCTTTGGTTACAAAGACTTTAAGATTTCATTGATTTGCCTATTGTATTATATTAAACTGACAAAAACAGATGTGATTTTTGTTTTTTAAATTTAATCAACAGAAAGATAAAAACCTAAACTGAACATCCTGACCAGACTCACTCATACCTACCACCTGAATTTATATTTTAGGAATATAAGAAGCCTTTGATGGAGGCGGAGCCGCGGATCCTGAGCTTGAAGAAGATCCAGCCTGTTTTTTATAGGCTGAAGGAGATCCTGCAGTGTCACTCCATGTTTCAGATTGCTCTGGCCTCCCGTGTAGCAGAATGGGATAATACTGAGAAAATCGGAGACCTTTTTGTTGCTTCAGTACGTCTCCTGTTGTTCTACTAAAACGTTCAATCTGTGGTGTGTTTTACAGCTTCTGTTTTTTTTTGTTCATTGAGCTTTCTTTTTTTGCTTTGGTTACAAAGACTTTAAGATTTCATTGATTTGCCTCTCATTTTTTTCACACTTGTTTTTGATTTGAAACACTACACAGTTGCATAGCATTGATCCAGCTGATTTGTATGGCCACAAATATAACCTTTTGTATTTCCCTTCACGTTAAGATGAAGATTTTTGCATAAGGGTTGTCAGATCTGCTTATCAAAGTCAGTTGGACTTTATAATGCTCTGTATTTATAACCTAACATGACTCACTTTCTTTTGTTTCTGTGATGAGAGATCTTTGCAGATGGAAAATCGGAACATCCTGTAGTCAGCAGTTCTATTAAAAGTGTGCTAATTTCCTCTGCATCATGCAGACTGTGCTCTGCAGCTGAGCACATAACGTTTGATCAGTAAATGCAAAACAGTCTTGCAAATAGTCCCTTCATATTGACAGTTATAATACCCTTTCAAATGGTACTAATATATACACTTTAGGTAACGTTAAAGTACTAAAATGTACCATTTAGGGATAAAAAAGATATAAAGATGTTTAACTGCCCCAGTGACAACTTTGTACCTTTTTTCTCGAAAGTGTGTAGATTACAGAGCATTGGGTCTCGAAGTACATGGATCTTATGCTATGTCTGAGCTGTGGATTATGTCTGCCACTGAGCTGATCGTTGTTTTCATCTCCTCCAGTTTTCCAAGTCAATGGTGCTAGATGTATACAGCGACTATGTCAACAACTTCACCAATGCTATGGCTCTTATCAAGAAAGCTTGTCTGTCCAAGCCAGCATTCTTGGAGTTTCTCAAGGTGAACTTCTCAACCCACTGCTAATTGTTCACCATTTGTATGGAAAAGCTGCTTTTGCGTTTACACTTAGAAGTATAAAAATCTAGTCCCTGTCTTTTCTGACCTGTTTTTGTGTTCTTCTGGGTTGCAGAAGAAGCAGGCTGCCAGTACAGACAGAATCACTCTTTATGGCCTGATGGTCAAACCAATTCAGCGCTTTCCTCAGTTCATACTCCTACTGCAGGTTAGTACTCTGAAAGCTCCAAACACACTCTCTCTCTCACACACACACACACACACAAAGCTAATGACGAATGACAAATAAGATTTTTATAATGGTGGAATGTACTCTAGCATGGTTGTTTAAAATGTGTTTGAGACTACATTTAAAAAATGAGCTGAAATAGCTAAAGGAGTTTCTCAAGGTGAACTTCTCAACCCACTGCTAATTGTTCACCATTTGTATGGAAAAGCTGCTTTTGCGTTTACACTTAGAAGTATAAAAATCTAGTCCCTGTCTTTTCTGACCTGTTTTTGTGTTCTTCTGGGTTGCAGAAGAAGCAGGCTGCCAGTACAGACAGAATCACTCTTTATGGCCTGATGGTCAAACCAATTCAGCGCTTTCCTCAGTTCATACTCCTACTGCAGGTTAGTACTCTGAAAGCTCCAAACACACTCTCTCTCTCACACACACACACACACAAAGCTAATGACGAATGACAAATAAGATTTTTATAATGGTGGAATGTACTCTAGCATGGTTGTTTAAAATGTGTTTGAGACTACAGGTCATCTAAAGCCGTATTATAGCTTTGTTCTGAGGAAAAGACAAATTAAAGTTGTTTTTCACTGATAATGTCCTCCTCTGACACATCTCTCAAATTTCATTCATGTTCAAATCCGGCATGTCAAAACATTTTCACATCAGGTTTGACATCATTTGAAGTAATTGGTTCTCTGCTGGTTTCATAACAGATTTCAAATGCCAGATTTAAATATGTACATATGCATGCTTACATATGTACATGTTTAAATTGCACAAATGAGGTTTGGTGGGGCGAGAGAGAATTTTCTGTGAAAAATAAGATTTTTATAATGGTGGAATGTACTCTAGCATGGTTGTTTAAAATGTGTTTGAGACTACATTTAAAAAATGAGCTGAAATAGCTAAATTAGAGCGATTACAGAAAGGCTGCCAAGAAATAGAATTAACAAATGTTAACAAATGTTAACTGAGTAAAGTAAAATTCTAAACTGGTAACTGGATTGTTATTTGTGTATATCCCACATGGTTTTTCTGGCTTTGAGCATGTCACTTAACATAATTTGCTTGCAGGGGACCTTGTAATAAGTGTATTGTAGGTCACTTTGCACAGAAGCATTGGCTAAATGTCAAATTAGGTAATAATTACTGAATATATGCAGATTAATCTGTCTGTGTTTCACAGGACATGCTGAAAAACACCCCTGTGGGGCATCAGGACAGGCTGCCGCTGCAGCTGGCCCTCACTGAGCTCGAGACTCTCGCCGAGAAGCTGAATGAGCAGAAACGGCTGGCCGAGCAGCTCGCTGAAATCCAACAGCTCACTCGCAGCGTCAGCGACCGTAACCTCAGTAAGGTCAGAGTTCACCGCACTACAAACACACACTTCAAAGCATTACCAACCCAAAAAACACAATGATATGACTTTACAAGATAATTTGGCAGGCAGTGTGAAAGGACATGAGCTGTCAGTGTGATCAAACTGCTATTTTCCACATTTCCTCTTTCTACAAATAGCTTTGACAAAGATGTTTCCTCGCCAGGGTGGCGGGTTGTCAGTGAAAGTAATTTTAGTAGCAGCTATTAAAGACTCCATTATATCAAAAGTTTTGTGTTTCATTTCATGTCTATTATCTCTGAGGTCATCTATCTGCTCGCACAAGGGACCCCCTTCCTAAAATATTGTATAAAGTCAACTATAGCAAATGTGAAAAGACAACATATTGTTTATACTGTCATACACTGTCAAGCCAAAAAAGTTATTAAAAGATTATCTAGATTATTTACTTTTATTTACTAGATTATTTATGAAAGAGTATTTGTCGTATTGAGTTAACAGCATATTTTTGTGTATTTCTTTCTTTCCACTTAAAATTAATGTTTAAATATAAACTAGAAAGCAAACATTTGTCAGTTTACAGTTTACATTTACATATAGAAATTTGCTTTTATTATGTCATACAGTATAAAATGTATGATTGTAAGTCGCTTTGGATAAAAGCGTCAGCAAAATGATTAAATGTAAATGTAAAATATTCTGTCGTTTTAGTCTAATTCCAAAAGAAGGTAAAATATTTTCTGAAAATTATTTATTATCTGAAAATTATTTACTTTGTATTCAGTTAACTACATTTTTTGCTTATTTCTTTCTACCCACTATTAGTGAGATGTTAAATTATAATCCTGAAGACAAACATTTTAAATTTATTTAAATAATTTATTTAGGAATTTCAGAAGGTTCAAGATCTGCATGTTTGCATTGAGGAGGAAAAAAAGTAATAGGATTCACTTTACATTCAGTTTGTATGCTTTTTTGTTTGCATTTTAATTAAGCTAAAATGACTGTTATATATTAATATTAATATTAGTTATATTAATAATAATAATATATTCATTTAGATCTTTTATTTCATCCTGTGACCCCTAGTGGGCCCCGGCCCCCTGGTTCAGAACCACTGCACTGGAGCGTTCCCACTTCCCTCAGCAGCTGCAATGCACACATACAGTATATCTCACCTTCATATGCAAATAAGCAGTTTTTGAATCCCCAAAGGTTGCATCACTCTAACCTCTGTATTTGTTCAGTTGCAAATGTGTTACATTCAAGGATGTTAGTGTGAGAATAGGAATGAAATTAAGATGATGAAGCTCAATCAAAAGACATTACTTCAAAGTCAAGAATCTAAACTGAGGAGCCCAGACATACAGGTGATACAAGTGTTCTATCATGGTGGGGATATATTCATTTACTTTTTAAAACTGTTTTTTTTTAACAGCAACTGAACTCGGATCAGAAGCAGTTGATTCTGTCTGAGACACTGATTGAGACCGTCTATGGCGAGAAAGGTCAAGTCCTCAAGTCTAAGGAGCGCAAAGTCTTCCTCCTGAATGACATGCTCGTCTGTGCAAACATCAATGTGAAGTAAGCAGTCATCTCATATGTGCACATCAACTCATTAATGAAGTTGTTCACCCAAAAATGAAAATTTTGTCATCATTTACTGACGCTTGTTTGGAATAAAAAAGAGGTTTAGCAAAATGTTCATGCTGCTTTTTTATATAATGAAAGAACCTGGTGACCTAGAGCTGTCGAGCTAAGAAAATGATGACAAAAGGCACCATAAAAGTAGTTCATATGACTCATATGCTATATTCCAAGTCATCTAAAGCCGTATTATAGCTTTGTTCTGAGGAAAAGACAAATTAAAGTTGTTTTTCACTGATAATGTCCTCCTCTGACACATCTCTCAAATTTCATTCATGTTCAAATCCGGCATGTCAAAACATGTCACATCAGGTTTGACATCATTTGAAGTAATTGGTTCTCTGCTGGTTTCATAACAGATTTCAAATGCCAGATTTAAATATGTACATATGCATGCTTACATATGAACATGTTTAAATTGCACAAATGAGGTTTGGTGGGGCGAGAGAGAATTTTCTGTGATTAATCTTAAATTAAAAGCTATCATATGGCTTCAGAAGAATTGTTAGATAGTGCATGATTCAAATGATCTTCTTTTATGATACTTTAGTGTCTTTTTTTTTAAGGTCACTATTTAATTTTGTTGTGTGGAAAAGAGCAGTGCAAACATCCTGCCTAAACTTTTCTTATGTGTTTAACAGAAGAATGAAAGCCATAAGGGTTTGGAATGACATGAGTGTGAGTAAATGATGACATACCTTTAATTTCTGGGCTAATTAGCATAAAGTAATAAATGAATACAGTTAATTGCTACAGAAAATTGGAATTCAGTTACTTGCTCATAATTTATGAATTAAGGCCATCTCCTTATTAACTCCCTCTCAACTGACACATAGATACATTGAAACGGGCATTGATAACATCTTTGAGGATCCAAGGTAACATTCTCACATCTGCCAGGTTTTTTCATTAATGACCACTGGGTCATGCTGTTTTCAAAGACTTCGGATCAGAATGATTTTACACTGGCTTCAAAGTTCTTCTGCATTCTTCAATCTCATCGAACGGTTCTCAATGCAAATCATGCATAACAGAGGAATACATGAATAATAATTTCCTGAAATCACAGTAGGGGGTGTGAGGCTCTCTGGGAATCTTTCTGATCACAAAGCTCTAATTGCCTTGTCTGATTCCTGGATCTCCGTCACTATCGTTCAGATGCCATCTGATTATGTATTATTTGTAATTGTGAGTCGGACTTGGTTGTGCAATCTTAAATTAATGCTTTTGTATTTATTCAGGGGCCCACCAGATATCAGCAGCCTAGTCCCCATCGGTCCAAAATACGCAGTTAAATGGAGTGCACCCCTGCTGCAAGTGCAAGTGGTGGAGGTGGGCCAGGAGACCCCCCAGCGTAAAGACAGCAAATACCAGCAGAGTGGAAGCAAGCGCCTGAGCTCCACCAACTCTCAAGGTTGCTATTTTTAAAGAGTGCTCCTTTCATGTGGTTAGAGGAGCATAGATAAAATAATGAACTTGGTTTTTAGATGTAGCTGGTAAAGCTGGATCATATAGAATAGAAAAGTTATTTTAAAGTGTAGTAATATTTTCAAATATTACAGTTTTTATTGTATTTTTGAATAATTGCAGCCTTGAACCCAAAATATATCTATCTATCTATCTATCTATCTATCTATCTATCTATCTATCTATCTATCTGTCTATCTGTCTGTCTGTCTGTCTAGATAGATAGATAGATTTAGATATATGATATATATATATATATATATATATATACACACACACACACACACATTGTAATATTTTGAAGATTAAATTCTTAATATTTTATATCATTTTATTTTCTTTACCTATTAATATTTTATATCATTTTATTTTATTTTTAAAAATGTAAAATATTTTGTCATTTTAATTCATTCAAATATCATCATTGCATTATTTTTAAGAAATATTATTTATAATAATAATAATAGTATTATCTTTACCTACGTGTTGTAATGTAAACAGCCTGTCAGAATTGACACTAAATGCTTCTTGGTTCGAGTTGAACATTATTGGATGTGGTGTTCTCAAAATAACTTTTTGTGTGCTTCATTAAAAGAACTGGCTCATAAGAGTCATTTATGAATTGTAAAGGAATGGAAATTAATTCATTAGAGTACACTAGTTGCATTGTTTGTATTATAGTGGAGCAGGGAACACTGTCTAATAGTATTAATATTCAATCTCCTTATAAATTATTGTATAGATTTTTACTGTTCTCTAACACTGGTAAACACAAGAAATTCCCATTTCCCCACAGTTATACCAGCTATACTTTTAACAAATCATCTTAGAGCTAATATCGGTGCACAGTCCTTCTGCTGCATTCATCTTGTTCAGCAGACTTCAGGTTTCCTCAGGGCTCAATGTTAAACCCAGTTCATACTCTCCAGCAGGGGAAATATACACTGACAGTCAGAGGACACAACAGAGGGTCTAATTCCAGGATAAAATGAGCCGAAAGTCCTTGGGTGACTTTTTTTCTTCTTTTCTTACATCAGAAAGTTCAACCTCTTCTCTACATCTTTCCTGCTGTGTTTGAGCTTTCAGCCTGATGCAAATAGTGCACAGAATTACAATGTTAGTTGAGTGCAGCCGTTCTGTTGCAAGAGTTTGCCGGGGGCGTATCATTTCAGACCCAAAAGCTTTAATGTGAATATAATTACTGATTATCATGGAAATGTTATTTGTTCAGGGAAGCTGTTTCTGGGACCACCACGGCTATATCAGGACCTGCAGGAGTTACAACATGATCTTTCTGTGGTGGAGGAAGTCACGTTGTTGGTGGGCACCCTGCAGGGATCATACCAGGTAAAGTCCTTAATCATCCGCAGCTTCGCACACCTGATACATTTCTGATTGCTAGTGAATAATTCCCTTCATGTTAGGGTTGTGCAAAGCTATGTATTTTCATAGTCGAATAGTCTAAACGACTAATCGGCCTTAAACGGATAATTTATCCAAAAATGAAAATTCTGTCTTCGAGTTATGCATTATATTATTTGTGAAACAAAAAAGATCAAACAAACCACTTCTCTCAAAAAAGTCAATTTAAAGATAAACAGAACATTAATTTTTGGGTGAAAAAAGCAGCATCAGAGCAGCCTTAAACATTGTTTGAAACATGACATGAGAGTTTATGAATAATAATTTATAGTTTCAGATTAATATTTATAATTTCAGAATTTCATTCATTTTGTGGCATAATTTCTGCAGATGTTTATTTTGACTAGCTTTGCTAGTATAGGATCATTCACAACCTTGCTTTCATTATTAAAAAAATATTTAGCATTTGACATTATTAAATATACGTCCACCCTGACTAATATTCAAGCCTTACTGACAGCTATTATAAATATATACGCTAAACATTTGCAACCTTCTATTGCACAAATCTTGTTCAAACAAAAAAAGGATTATGCATACTAACAGAAACATTGCTTACAGCAGGCGATTTGAAGTCCGACAGTAATTGTCTTGAAATGTATTGTTGAAGATGGTGGATTTGTAACAAAAGCTCTGCTGTGATGGCTGTAGCTGCAGTGCTTTCAAGGGCGTGAATTTTGAGATGCAACCTCTCTGAGCGAGTTTACCGCGCTGACAGTCTAACAGCACGCTGTCACTCTCCACATGAAGTTTCCATTGTAAATCAATTATTTTTAAGCTAAATATTTTAGCACACCTGCTAAAAATTTTGAAAATCAAAAACAAAAAATCTGGAGAATCGCTGGTCAACCTCAGTGATCGACTAGTCGACCAATTCGCAGTCCTATAGTGTGCAACGGTTTTCTCCATAGGGAGATTGCTTTTTAACAACGATAGGTAAATAGTCTTGTACTGTTGTCTTTTTGTCCAATTTTCAGTTACTTTTTTACTTCAAATCAAAATTTGTAATGTTGTGGTTCACCTCAGAGCTGGCTGGTTTGGTTCATGGCTTATAATGCTTTTTAAAATCCCTGTGGGAAAAATTAATGGAAAAAACACTTCCAGAGCCAGCGTCGCTGAAAAACCGTGTGGGCATTAATGCACTCTATTGTGTCGCTTTCTCGCTCTTTAACCTCTCCTTGTGCTAATTATGTTGCAAAGGTAAAAATGCAGGGCGCTAAGTGTGGTAACCGGTTCTTAGTCAGTCTGACAGCTGTCTCCCATAAATGTGACTGTGTACGTGTTCAGAATCTCAACACTACGGTGGGGCAGGACTGGTGCATGGCTCTTCAGAGGCTCATCCGCATCAAAGAGGATGAGATCCAGTGTGCCAACAAGTGCCGTCTCCGGCTGATGGTTCCTGGGAAGCCTGACAAGTGAGTGCCGACTACCCACTGATGCCAGTGGGCACAGGTTACACAAAATAGAGCTGCGCATTGAATTCCCCTCAAATGTGGGTGGATGTGACAGTTACACTGACTGAAACATAGTCATTCATTTCATCACACTTGTACCAGAAGGATTTAGATTTCTTGGAATTGTCTTGGACTTATCATGGACAGGCTCTTTGGAGTTACTCGATCAGTCCACAGAGCCAAAATAATTTTGCTGATCAGTTGGAGGTTTAAACACAGACTGAACAGCTTTTAAGATTTAAGCTTTCTTAAAGTCTGATGGACCATAATGTTTTAAGGCAGTGATCTTCAACGTTTTTTTTAGGACAAAACCCCCCTGGGTGGATTACTCTGTTACAAACAGCCTTTAATATGTTTTATTATTATTATTATTATTATTATTATTAACATTGATGATAAGTTTCTTCAGCACCAAATCAGCATATTGGAATGATTTCTGAAGGATCATCACAGGAATAAATTATATTTTAAAATATATTACAACAGAAAAGTAATGTTAAATTGCAATAATATGTCATATTTATAGTTTTTGCTGTATTTTTATTTAAATAAATGCAGCATATTCATTATTTTACAGTTTACTTTATACACTGTAGCATGGGAAGCACAATAAAAGCTTTGGTTGAAATAAGTTCATTATTGTTTAATGCATATTTTCATTTTTTTGAAACAATTATTTTGAGATCAAACAGTAATTGGTGGACCCCCTGTCGTACCATTGTGGACCCCCTGTTGAAGACCCCTGCATTAAGCCGAATGTAGTTTTTTTGTTGTTGCCATGTAGCAGACAAAAATTATTTTGACTCTTGGCACAAATAGAGCTGAACATACTAATTTTAGTCATGCGTGGAACCGAGAGAAGCTTTGTTTCACTTGGATTTTTATTGTGTTGAATCCCTCTTGGATTTTCACAGTTTGTGGATGTGTGTGTGCGTACATCCCTTGACAGGTCTGGCCGTCCAGTCAGTTTCACAGTGGTCTTCAGTACGCCCAGTCCAATTAGCAAAATCTCCTGGGTCAATCGCCTGCATCTGGCCAAAATCGCCCTGAGTAAGTGTGGGATCTCAAACATGAGTAACACATTGTTGACATGAGTCTTTCACTTATTATTTTCATGGATTCATTTTCTTATGTGTATAAAAGCTTTGAGTTTCAGTGACAGTATTGCGCCTCTGGCTAAGCTTATTACCGTTTGTGTAGGAGCGGAGAACTTGCCTGGCTGGGTGTGTGTAGAGGATGATGAAAAGACTAAGCCTCCGTTCTGGTGCCCGTTACTGGCCTGCCGGTTGCCTGTGTTTACCCCAAAAATGCAAGATCTGAAGGTAAGTGAGAGGCAACCAACCAATTTGTATTTGTGTAAACTTAAGAAAGAACACTATTCAGCTAGACATAGAAGTCATTTTATGTAGTTTTTTATCCATTTTACCAAAAACGACTGAAAAATTAAAGCTCTGTTATCATTGTAAGTGAATCCAAAATGATCCAAAGTACAGTAAAAACAGTATAATTTTGAAATATTTTTACTATTTAAAATAACAGTTTTCTATTTGAATACATTTTAAAATGTAATTTATTCCTGTGATTTCAAAGCTGAATTTTTAGCATCATCTTGCATCTTTTAATAATTGGCTTTTAGTACAGACAGAATCAAATTTAATTCATTTTGAAATGTCATCTTTGTGATTATATTAATAAAATATTTTATTACTAAGAGCAAACATTTTAATTTTTTTTCAGTAATTACTCTTCGTACATGAAAATATAGCTGCCTTCTACTTTAGAAAAGGGGTCCTTCTAATGGGGCGTCATATTTGGGGTCCTTGGTGTCAAAAAGGTTTGAAAATCTGATTTAGATAGCAATGAAATGAAATGGAAAACATATGAAGACTTTTGCTTAAAGGGATAGTTCACCCAAAAATGAAAATTAGTCCATTATTTACTCACCCTCTAGTCATCCTAGGCGTGTATGACTTCCTTCTTTCAGATGAATCCAATCTGAGTTTTATTAAAAATTGTCTTCAATCTTCCAAGCTGTTTAATGGCAGTCAGCGGGGGTTGCAGTTCATCAGTCCAAAAGAAGTGAAATAAAGCGCATACATCCATAATAAAAAGTGCCTCACACGGCTCCGGGGGGGGGGGGGGACAAGGGCCCCTGGAGCGGAACGAAGGG